TTAAAGATGTAGGGCATTTTTGAAATACCTCCAAAGATGCCATTAATATCTTTGATTTTATAGAATCTCCCAAATTCCACCATGCACCAAATTTTCCCAGATAACGTCCCACACATAGAAGACAATTAATTTTTGAGTGTTAAAAACAAAAAGGACAGTAAAAAAATAGTTTGAACGATTGCTTTTATGGATGATCAAATCCTAGGGAAACAAGTACAGTAATCTCAAGCTTATCAAATATCATGTTCCCTACAGATCCAGTGTCGTAAATTGTAATGGATTAACAGACAACAGCATACCAATTCAAAGCAAAACGACACCAGATTGGTAAGTTTCTAAGCCCCATCTGGCTGGATGAAAGGGTTGGCTATTTCATCTGTACCGTCAGTTGGCGAAACAAGCATAACGGCTGTTCCCCTGCAAACCTGCAGTATAATTGACATGCTTAGGTAAGAAACACTAGACGTTTCCAGTTTTGCATGACCGTGTTCCTCAGATCTATTTCCAGCGATAACATTGTAAAAAAAAAAAGCAAATTTTGTTTCTATCAATCGCACAAATGGAATCCATCTATTGTAAGTTAAACTGAATCAACCAACTCAAATGATACAACATGATTACTTTTGCAGCAAAGTTGAAAGCGCTGGGAGTGAGTAAAACATCTTAGTTTCAATGCAAAGGCACTTTGAAATACTATAAGAACTAGTGGTAAAAGTAGTAGTATTGACATTCCATTAATTGTGGATGAAAAATCGAACCCCAGTAATTTGGAAATAAACATATAGGACAGTAAAAATAATATGCTTTTGAGCAAGTTTTCTCCATCATTTCGACATGTTTGAACTTTGGGATAGGCAATACAAATTTCTTTTAGAAGTAATTGGTTCAAAATAAATCAAAGAAATTAATTTGACATTATAAGACTCTTTAGGACCAGACCCAAGTCTGTGCTCTAATAGACTAGCCCAAAATATAACTAAAACAGAACACTCAAAATATATTTGTGGGAGGGGGAGGAGGAACATACTATTAGCCCAAGACGCCTGGTCTGATCAGTAGTTTTCATTGGATCATCAGGATCTGCAGTCCAAAGCAAAATTCTCTAAATCAATTCTTCCTGGATCGTCTATCAGAAGATACATTCTACCACAAGAAAAGCAGACATAAACATCCATTCAAGAGTACTGCCACTTCACTCATAGATATAACCACTAGCAACAGGAGTGTGAGCAAAGCAAGAAACATAGCAATTTCATTCCATCCCAGTTAAAAACAGTTTTGTCATTGGGTGAGAGAATTCAATACATAATTAAAATGTTGATTTGTTCAAGGTGATATAGAATTGTGCATATTTTTTCCCCAGATAGAGAATAAAAATGAGAGTTTATAGAAGAAATCTAAGGAAAGACACTCAAAAAGGATTACGATTTGAAATTATTAGCAGAGACTGAGAATTTGGATGATAAAAAAGGAAAAATCAGATAGAGACAACCCTTATAGTCCATTCGGTTTAACTCTCACTCTAATTCATATTCCATTTCTTTTACTCAATTACTAAAATATCCTTAATATGTAGAATTAATTAGTAATTTCATGTTTGAATCAATCTAGAAATGAAACTGATCCAAAGACATATCAAGAATATTCTACTACTCAAGCAAGGAATAGAATATGAATTAAATCAAATGGGTTGAAAGGTTATTAACATTGGCAAATCAAAATGGAAAATGGAGAAATTTTATAAGCGTGCTCTATCTAATGCAGTATATTGAGTCTAAGGACCTCAATTGTAATACCCGTAATTAATTTAAAAAAAAAAATTAAATTAATGTATAAAATATAATTTATAAATTTATAAATTTTTATTTAATATAAAAATTATGAAAAAATAGGTGGAAAATGAAATTGAAAACAATTTTGAAAAAAAAGGTGAAAATTTAGATTATGAGAGTGTTTTTGAAAGAAAAATAAAAAACTGGGGTCAAAATACAATTTAAAAAAAATGTGCCACGTAGGACCGCCCAATTAGCAGCCCAATAAACCGGAGCACACCGCGTGGCAAGGCACGCTGACGCAGTGCCACGCGGGAGGCCATGCTGACAATTTGCGTGCCCGCGATCAGCTGGATTTGTTCCTGCACGTGTGGACAGTCCCGGATCCGTTCCCTCCTCAAGAGCGATCGTATGGTTCAGATCAAATCGCGATGAACGGTTCAAAT